AGAAAGAAAGAAAGAAAGAAAGAAAGAAAGGAAGAGAAAGAAAGGGAAGGAACGAAAGGAGACTAAAAAAAACAAGGAGACCCACTACCAAATGCAACGTGTAAACCCCCACTGGGAAAAGAGAACAAATCAAAAGTAACCTGGGGAAATATAAACAGGGGCTGGAGAGCAGACAGTGTTGCGAAGCTGCTACTGGCTGCCCTGGACATGAAAGGGCGTAACTACGTAGGAAGCCTTGGGAGATGCGCACTGAAATAGGCTGGACAGAGGCATCGTGGGGTGTGAAATGAACTTTAAGTGGTTCGAGAGATTTCACTACTCAGGAGGCAAACATGGACACGGTGCTAGTAACCACGGGACCCGGGTGGCAGATAAGAGACAGTGTGGGAACTTACCGCCCACACATTCCGTTCCTCAACGTGTTCCAACTTTTTCGTAATAAATGTTGGGGGACGGGACCCCGGAGAGGACTGTCATTCCCTACTGGCCCCAACTGACTCTAGCAACCGTTCTGTGAGTGTGCACCCAGACAGTCCTGGTGATGCTCAAAGGTCTCAGGGACCCGGAAGTTCAGCCCTCGCCACTCAGCCAGCCCAAGTGAGGGCCTGTGACAATGTTTCAAGGTCACCTGCTCCTGTTGCCCTGACATTGTTAGGGCCCGGTTCCCATGAGACTTCAGGCGTTCCTGTGTGGGTCTCCAGGAAGGACATGTCCTAATGTGCCAGCTGCCAGGGCTGATTTCCACAGCCAGGCTTGACCACTGGGATGGTGAGGATGCCGCTCACCCTCTAAGCCCTGGACACATAACCCCAGCACGCTCTACTCAGCAACATGGGCCCCTCTGAAGGCTGGCCATGGGACCAGGTGCTGCTAAATAGGCCAAGCGCCAGCCAAGGGCTGGTTGAGGGCAGGAGCCCCTCCGGCTGGGAACGGCTGGGGCTGTGGGGTGCTCTGCAGGGCTGCAGGAGGCAGGGGTACTGTGGCCACACTGGGTTCCAACTTTCCAGCACACGCCAAACTCCCAGGGGTGGGGACCATGCCACCCGACGTGTCCCTCTCGGAGCACTGGCTCGAGTTGAAATGAGAGGGGACTTGCTCTCTCCTCCTCCCTCCGTGTCTTCAACCAGTGCCTGCACACTGACCGTGTGGGGTCTGCAGGGTGGGGACCCCTCCTGGGGCCCTCCCGGCAGCACTGGGTGCCCTGACGCAGGGATCTGAGGGGGACGGAATGGGATACCCCCTGGGACAAGGAACGGGTTTGTCCCTGCTTGAGGCCTGGTGGACCCCGATAGGTCGTGGGTCAGGCGGCAGTCAAGGTAGCACCTGCACCTTAGAAACTGGCGTCTATGGCAGGAGCCCTGCTGGAGACCTGTCACTCAGAAGGGGACAGAGCTGGTCCCTGGATACAAGAGCTTGACGGAGCCCCCAAGAGCTAAGCTGACCCAGAAAAAACCCTCCTTCTGGGCAGGGCACGGACAGCCATTTGTGCTGACATAACAAGGGACACGAACCGACACCACAGTTAACTTGGGAGTCCTGCTGGGACGAGGCAGCCCCATCTGTGGGTCGGCATGTATCTGAGTTCTCAGAACCAAACACAAAACGAAACCCAAGCACAGGGCGCCCGGACACCTGGCTAGTTCAGCCGGTAAAGCACACTACCCTTGATCTCAGGGTTGTGAGTTCAAGACCCACACTGGGCATGGAGCCTACTTAAAACAAAACAAACAAAAAAACCACAAACCAATACAGCAACCAAGCAACAAAAAATATCACCAGACTAAGCAAATCTGACCTTCCCACACTGCTTGCTTTTTTTTCTTTCTTGGAATGCGCCTTCAGAAACAAAACTCTGTCCAGCCTGATCTCTGGGTCAACAACAGATCCACTGTTTGTTTGGTTCCTAAACAGTGGGGCTGTTCCAGTGGTCTGCTCGTCCGTGGCCGTCCGCTCCAACCCGTCCTCAATGGTATCCAGGATGCGGCCTGTGGCCCAGAACGTTCCAGTGTGACACCAGGAACCTCATGCCTCTCAACTAGCCAGCTACCTCTTGGGAAATGGACCAGTCAACCGAAAGTGTCAAATCCTGAGTTTTATGAGTCATCCCCGTCCAAAATATAGACTAGCGGTCACTGGATAGGCTGTGGTTCCCCAGTCATCCCAAGCAAAGGGCCATTTTGTCCCAAAGAACCTGAGTGTACGGGCTTGAGGGGTCCGCCCACCAACGGCAGGATGGACCCCCGCAGTCACAGTGGGGTACAAACTGCCACTCCCCTGCAGGTTTCTGTACAACCCGCAAAGCAAGGGTAACTCTCCCTTGTCCCACAAAAGGATGGATTCGGACATTGAGCCTGGACTTGTCTCTGGCTTGGCCTTAGCCAGCCAGTCTGAGTCGCGTCTAAAATAGAGAGGGTGAGGCCCCACAGGGCAGTGCTGACGCTGGAACGAGCCGCTGACGCCAAAGGGCTGGGAGCTGAAGAGGAAGAGCCCATTAACGTGGGCTGCTGGTGACCACCAGCCACTAACCAGCACCGTCTGGCCGGTCCAGAGACATTCCCTTGAACTTTATTGAACATCGATCCTTGTTCAGGGCTGGAGGCACCAAACCAGTTCAGGCTCACCTGAACTGGAAAGAGGCTTTCACCTGCTGACCCCCCATTCCCCTTAGCTGGATTCTGAATCCATGCAGTATACCTGTGACACTTAATTTTTCTTAATGTTTTATGTTTATTTATTTTTGAGAGAGAGAAGGGGGAGGGGCAGAGACAGAGAGATAGAGAGAGAGAGAGAGAGAG